TGGGTGTAGGGTTTAGGGTTTCGGGTTTAGGGTGGGTGTAGGGTTTAGGGGTTTAGCGAAACCCCAAGCCCAAACTCCAAGCCCAACATTCTGCGTGATCTTCGTGGGCCAGGGGCTGGAGAAGAAGTCGACGGAAGATAGTTGGCCCTAACAAGCCTCATACTGCCCTGTATACCCCGTTTAAGAAATAAGAAGCCAGAATGGGCCACAAGCACAAACTTTACCCGAAACCCTAAACACCCCCAAACCCTTGTCAAGTCGCAATCCGAAATCGTTTCACTCCGCACGAAGCCTAGGCCCACTGGGAGGTTCATGGGCAGCTATACGTAGGGTGATAAGTACCTAAGTAGGCTTATAAGTATAGTCACCATACTTATACCTATGCTTCTGACCCCGAACCTCCAACCCTGAAACCGGAAACCCGAAACCCTAAACCCTAAACCCCAAACCCTAAACCCCAAACCCTAAACCCTAAACCCTAAACCCCAAACCCTAAACCCTAAACCCCACCAGGTTCCTGTTGCGCCCGCGGCTAATGCAGTGGCAGTGTCACCACCGGCCGGGCCGCCAACTGCGCGGAGTCAGATTGTTAGAGAGTGTTAGGTAGGCCCTCTGGATATTTCATATTTTTCCCTTTTCTGGTTTGAGAGGATCATGTTTAGGAATTTTGTTCAGAGGGTCTTAAGGCCCATCCGGACCTCGAACGGTATCGAGATCTCTTCCAAAGTCTCAGCCACGCCCAAGCCTCGTCCTGAGCCCTTACACACCTTGTGACCCTGATCTCATCCGTAAGGGCCTGATTTCTGAAGCCTAATCCCCTCCCGAATATCAACCTCCCAAGACCCGAAAATCAGATACTCCCATTCTAGCTATACTATCGTGTATGGGGAGTATTTAATATTGGGGGTAGGGGGATTGATTTTAGGGGAGGGGAAAAAACTCTCTCTTTAACCAGCGGCCGACTTCCGAAAATACCCTAAACCTAAACCCCCTAAACCCCCTGAAAATCTTGACCTTGCGGAAACCTGTGGAGGCTGCATGTCGCTTTGCCATGCCAGGCGGGAGCCTAAGGGAGCCGGGGGGGGGGGGGGGGTAGGGTCTAGCGTTTAGGGTTTGGGGTTTAGGGTTTAGGGCCACCCTAAACCCTATGAGTTTTGGGGATGATATGGAAGCCTGTGTGTAATGAAGCTTGGTTTTGGTCACAATCCTGCGCCTTGAACCTCGCCCGCCCCCCCCCCCCCCCCCCCCCCCCCCCCCCCCCCCCCGAGCCCTCAAAAAAGTCAAGATGCCCAATCCCAAAAACCCAAACCTTGCCTTGCCAACATGGTGGCTTTCAACTTTGCACAAGGTCTCGTGGCATGGAGGGGAGGTATTTCAGAGTGTAAAGTATATGGGTTTCGTATGTGTCTCCGGGCTGTTGGATACGGAATGGACCCAGAGGCTCCGCTACAATGAATAATCTCCTTGAGAAGTCTGATTCAGTATGTCTTTTGGATTTCTATCCCTAAACCCTAAACCCTAAACCCTAACCTCTAAACCCTAAGCCCTAAACCAACCCCTAAACCCTAAACCCTAAACCCCAACACCATGGGATCCTCCGCCGCAACTGTGGAGCACCCACAGCGGCATCAGGTGCTCCGCCTTTGCCGTATCCACAGGGCCCGTGCGCCCCTCAGGCTACAGGAGAGGCCCCCTTACTATACTAACTGAGGGTTTAGGGTTTAGGGATTAGGGTTTAGGGACTTATAACTTAAGGTAGGCTCCTTATAACCCAATTGAGGGTCCTTATAACTCTACTTACAAGTACGCGGGAGCCCCTCAGGCTCTCAAGGCCAACAGTACCTTGCAGGTTCTTCGTAGGGGATGAGGGAGTTAAAAACCCTAATGAATGCCTTGAAGGGTGCGTGTGTGTATATAAATAAATATATATATATATATGGAAACAATATCTGTATTTACATGTGTACAAAGGTTGTTTTTAGACGCCTCATTCCCTTGTTCCCTGCTAAGAACCAGTAGGTTACCTGTGTCACAGTACAGTCAGTCGCAACCATGCTGGGACTGCCATGCCCCCCACCCTCCCCCTATGTCATTCCAATCACTCCATTTTGGCGCGAACCAATTCTAGTGATGACTGACAGCAGCTCTTGCAGTTCCTTGTGCACTTGCCGGTATACCACGTCCACAGAGCCGGAAGAAGATACATCAGAGACCTAGCACCGCTTAAGCCACAAGGCCCAAGCTGCTCCTCCATCTTGATTCCATCCTCTGAAATGTTTAGGACACCCCGGGTTTCTCCTGCCTCAAAGCTCATACAAAGGATGGTTCAACCACGACCCGTGTATGCACAGCTGCCGCTGATGCCTGAGACTTTTTTGTTTCCAGGTGGAGGGAGGGATCACGAGGACCTATATATATAGTAAGGATTCATGCCCCAGACTTTTACATTTCAATATAATGACAATACGGCGAGTACCTTCAACCCTAAACCCTAGACCCCTTCCACAGTTGCAGGGTTGCAGGGGAGGGGTCCAAAGAGTACCAGGTATGTAGCATACGGTCAAGAAGAAATGCACCAGACCCTGGATTAAGACATGGAACCTTGGTCAGGGTTTAGGGTTTAAGGTTTCTAGTTTGAGGTTTGGGGTTTGGGGTGATTTTTTACTATGTGCGTTCATTGCCAATAAATTGCGAACATAATGACAGTATCAAGGATTTAATTACCTACTGTTGGCCTAGGTATGTCTGTATGTATGCATGTATGTCTGGATGTATGTGTAGATATGTATGCATACACTCCAGTGTAGCCTTGGCGTTCTTAAAGGCTTTCGGGCTCCCCTATAAGTTTCCGAGCATCTGACGTCCGCCAACTGAACTGCAGCGGATCCCTGAACCCCTCAAAGATACCGCCCTGTAAAAATCCGCACAAAAATATCCCTCAAGCCTTGCAAGCTCGAAATCCTTACATGTTCCCTAGCCCTGAATCCGCACGTTGTCCCTCCCGGTAGAGTGCCTGTAGCGTAAAGTTTTTGGCACACGCCTGTCCAAGGCACACTTTTTTATAAGGCTACGAAGGCTACCCTGGATACACCGGATCCGATCGGAAGCTCCTCAGCACCGCAAGGCAACCGCCGCAAGCCAGGCAGCCGCTGGGCGTCGGCGCAGGTGCTGGAAGCCCTTAGGGCCTAAACCCATTCCGACCCCTTAAACTATATGCATGTCTAGGACACACCGCATGAAAACAGATACACACACACACATGCGCACACACACACACACACACTTACAAACACGCGCCGCCAACACTTCCGCACCCTAAGCCTTACATGACTTAAGCAGCACGGTGCCTGGTGTTCCCAGAAATGTTGTCAGCATTACGCCGAACTCTCGTGGAGGGTCCAAATCGGTTGGGGCGACATCAAAAAGGGTTTCTCAGACTCGACCTAAGCCCCTAAGCCCTAAACCCTAAACCCTGAACCCATCATGCTGCATGGCTCATTCGGCGTCGTCACGAAGCCTCTACCCTAAACCCTCAAACCCTGACCATGAACCCTAAACCCTAAACCCTAAACCCTAAACCCTAAACCCTAAACCCTAAACCGCAGTTTGTTGGGGTTGGACAGGCCACTGGCTTCGAGTCGCGGACCTGGAGTTTGGGGAGGCGCTGCTTTGGTGATGTTTGTCGATGTGGTTTAGATTGGCTTACAGTAAACTCCAGAAAGTTGCAACATGGTTTAAGGATGATTCGAGCCGGCACGCGTTTAGTTTACCTTTCGGGGTATGGGGATAAGGATGTTCCAACTTTTTGGAGTTTACTGTAACGTCTTAGGGTTTGGGGTTTAGGCGATTGCACAAGTCCTGATGCAAAAAAGGTTTGAGGTTTTGGGGGTGTGGGTTTGGGAGTACAGGGCTTGGGATTCAGGATTTGGTTTTGAATCAGTGAGCCTTGCGATAAAGATAGACGCTATAGTAGCAAAGCAGCAGCGATTTCGGTAGACATGCATTGTGTGATGTCTCAACCCTACACCCAAAAGCAAGACCTGTTCAAGAGGCACTGCACCCCAAACCCCTAAACTAATCTATAAACTTCAGAAAGTCGTAAACCGAAGCCCTTAACCAAGCCTTCTCCTCACAGACTCGCCCTAAACCCTAAACCCTAAACCCTAAACCCTAAACCCTCAGCTCCTTGTCCGAGCTTCTCCGCGAGATCTCAGGTGCTCCGGGTTGACACTTCAAGGATCCGCTTCTTCCCCAACAAATGTTATCTTCTATACAAGACCCTGAAAAAGCCCTACATCTCATGTGTTCCCCTACGACCCCCCCTATACTACCCCCCCCCCCCTCTGCGTCCCCCTCAGAATTCAGGCTATTTCGGGATTGTTAAGCCTAATTCGGGGTAGTAGGAAACCCATGAACATAGAGACCCTAAACCAGAAGCCCTTCAGAAAGGCCTCCTCATCCTCTGAAGCTGTTAAGTGACGAGCCTTACAGAAATCCCCCAAGCCCTAACCCCCCCCCCCCCCCCCCCGGCGCCTTCCCCTCCGCCGACTTTATAACTACGTTATTGTTGGTATTGCTGCGTTGTTAAAATCGGCTATCAGTTGTCATGAATTGTTATGACTATGGATCAAAATTAGTCATAGCGTTGTCATGTTCTAGGATACTTTAATACAGAACAATAGTACAACTTATAACCAAGATCTTATACTATACTGTATCGTTTCTGCGGTTATTCTTTTACGAATATTATATAAATGTGATTGTATGAATATGATTATTGTAATATGTATATATATATATATACAGAGAGAGAGAGAGTTTGACTAAAATCACAAACGTTCTTGGAAGCATGATTACATGGATGTGATGACCGTTATCTGTATGATACGACGATGTCCTTCGCTCTGTTTCTAGTCTTGTTTAAATATGATAACGCTACTCGTTACGATTACTGTAGTCAAATATGAATACTTTGTATATGTATATATATATATATAACTTGTGATTGAAACTGAGTTCCTAACCCTAAATCCTAATCCCTCAACCCAAACCCTAAACCCAAACCCTATACCCTAACATCTAACCCCTAAACCCTAAACCCTAAACCCTAAACGCTTTATATAAGCTACAATTCTCTGCTCTCCTCAGCTCCTGGGTTCCGGCGGCTTCGGCGCAGTGCACCGCGGGCGACTGCGGGGCTCTCCCCAGGAGGCAGGGACGTTTGGGTTTAGGGTTTAGGGTTTAGGGTTTAGGGTTTAGGGTTTAGGGTTTAGGGTTTAGGGTTTAGGGGGTAGGGGTTAGGGTTTAGGGTTTTTAGGGTTTAGGGTTTAGGGTTTAGGGTTTAGGGTTTAGGGTTTAGGGTTTAGGGTTTAGGGTTTAGGGGTTTAGGGGTTTAGGGGTTTAGGGGTTTAAGCCTTGAGGGCTTTTTTGAAGGGGACCTGCAGGGGCTTTTTAGAGAGTGACTTTTGGTGGGAGGTGCTTTTCTACGGGGTTTTAGAGGAGGGTTTCAGAGGGATTTTTAGAGGGGCTTACAGTTTTTAAAAGGCTTTTTGGGTGCAATTTCCTGAGCCCCAAGGGTCAAGGTTTAAGGGCTCTTAGGTTGTAGGATTCAACGAGTTTAGGGCGTTTTTTGGTATAGCCCTTTACTGGGTCCGTACTGGGTCGCCTAGTAGCACTGAATAGCATTTAGGGGCTTATGGTTTCCAGGGTTTAGGGTATAGCGCAAAAGGGGCTCAGGGATGTGGAGGTTTAGGGTTTAGGGTTTAGGGTTTAGGGTTTAGGGTTTAGGGTTTAGGGTTTAGGCTTTTGGAATGGTTTAGGCGCTCAAGGCTTGAGAGCACAGGGTTGAGATGTCCATTGGGCTTATTTAGTTTCGGGTTTAGGGTTTAGGGTTAAGGGTTAAGGGTTTAGGGTTGAGGGTTTAGGGTTTAGGGTTCAGAAGCAGCTTGGGCTTGGGGTTTTTGTTGCAGGGTTCAGGGCTTGGGTTGATTATTCTGCCAGTAGTTTTCGCTTCGGTGTCTTCAGATCTTTTTTTTTCCAACAGACACCATACAAAATACTCTTTTGAGATTGAGGGCTTTTTGGGGGGGCTATGACTTTGGGGTTTTGGGGTTTAGGGGTTCAGCAGCCCAACAGGGTCGAGCTTGGGGGACTCTGAAGGCTTGTCAGGCTATAGGGCTTTTCATAGATTATCGAGTTCCTAAGGAGGGCGGTTCAGGGGGGTAGGCACCTCGCGAAGCTTAGGGAAGCTTGGGGAGCCTTCGGGTAGGGAACCTTGGGTTACATACCCCCTTGAACCCCCTCCCGTAAGAACCCGATAATTCGAGTCTTAGAGTCAGTGTCCCTTCGGGGCTTTCAGGGTTTCGGGTTTAGGGCTTCAATCAACGGCTACGGCTAAGAGCTGTGAAGGGAAGCTGAAGAAAGAGGATGCTCAGTGGTGCTGAAACTGTCCGGAAACCGGGGTTGATAAATTGTGGTTGCAGTGTTGGGCGTTTTTACCCTTCACCCTAAACCGGTCAGAAGCCAAAGCCAGCCTGTGCGTTCGGCAGTAGGGCCCCGGGTCAGTCGCCTGGCGGACATGGAACCACGCAAGGCTAAACGAACCCTGAACTCAACCCAATCCCTAAACCCGAAACCCTAAACCCTAAACCCTAAATTCCTAAACCCCTGCGAGGTTGCCATCAAGAAGCTGCACGTGTTGCAGGGTGGCGGTGTCTCCCAGGCGGGCCGAAGCTGTGACGCGCGTCGAGCCCGGGAACTCCTCTTCATCAAGGGCATGTATGTAGCCGAGCATACACATATTTATATATGTGTGGGTATCTAGATGTGTTGGAATAGCCTCTTATATATATATATATATATCTATATATATATATCATATCATAGAAATCTAGAAGTCTGTATGTGTGTATATATATAGAAAGAGAGAACACAGACGGCGGTATGCGCGTAGATGCGTGAGCATGCTCTGCAAAAGAGCGTCGTCATCCCGGGCACCCTCCTCTCAACCCACTGGCCCTAAACCCTAAACCCTAAACCCTAAACCCTAAACCCTAAACCCTAAACCCTAAACCCTAAACCATGGTTTTGTTGGTTGCCGGCTTATAGGGTTGGAGCCACTGTTGGGGTATAAGGGCCCCTATAATCTGAGAAAACCATGGCTTATGTTCATGTGTTCTTTTGTGCCCCTCTGTAAGCTTTCGGCCCCTTCCGACGCGTTGACACCCCATGGTTACCGGCACAACCCCCCCCCCGCCCCCCAAGGCCCTTACCACGCAAGTGCGGACTTTCAGTCTGGTTTGGGGGTGTATCTACACCTCCAATCTCAATTCTGATTATATGGTTCGTGACTCAAAGACTCAAAGCCCTCAACTACAACTGGTGAGCTAGGCACAAGCACCTCCTAATTATGTATACCTAGGACTAGGTTAATGAGCTCCCCTTGAAAAGGATGCATATAGACCTGTGTATATAATAAAAAAATATATATATATATATAAATATTCAACGTATAGGTCCTTAACAACATTGCAGTTCTAAACCCCAAAACCCTGTAGGGTTTGGCCGTTGAGCCGCTGCAGGCGAACCTGGCGGAGTTTCAGAAGGAGGTGAACAATCTCCAAGCCTTGAGGTGCGAGGATTTGAGATACCCAACGGGGTTTAGGGTTTAGGGTTGAGGGTTGAGGGTGTAGGGTTGAGGGTTGGGATGTTCCTCCTTATACTGAAACAGCCCCTTAATAGGATTCTAGCAACCCCCTACTATATTTCCTATTGAGGACTGCTAGCATAAGGAGGCGAGGTTTAAGATACCCTAAATACCCGAAACCCCTGGTTCGTAGTAGGGAATGAGTCAATTAGGGTCTTAGTTATAGTGTTTAAGGGATCCTATAGGGCCCTAACTCGCCCCATTCCCTACCAAGCCAGAGAAGCGAAAGAGCCCTGAACCCTGAACCCTAAACCCTAAACCCTACTCTACTTCTAACTAGGGGGGGGGGTGCCCATCCTTGTATCATCCTCATGAAGGCACGACCGGCTCATTCGCCTCATCGGCGTGGCCTACGACCCACCCATGCTGTGCATCGTCACTGAGGCACTGCATGGCAAGCTTCTGGGTTTCCGTTACGGAACTTACGCGAAGTTACCCCTAAACCCTAAACCGAGACCCTAAACCCTAAACCCTAAACCCTAAGCCCTAAACCCTAAACCCTAAGCCCTAAACCCTAAACCCTAAACAGACTCTGACGATAGACCTCTGGGCTGGCTGCGGAATTTAGGTTTGAGTTCAGGGCCTAGGACCCAGTGAAGGCCCTTATTCCTTTTTCGGGGTCAAGCAATGATCCCCACGCCATGGTACTCCCTTTTTTCAACTGTTTATGATCATTGTTTGCCATTATTACCCAGTAGTAGGAAAGCATTTTTGAGAGTTTTTCCTGGTTCGTCCTCTACCCTCAACCCTAAACACCCAAACCCTAAACCCTAAACCCTAAACCCTAAACCCCAAAGCTAAGCAACAAAAACCCGAGCCCCCAGCTGGCACCGGGCGGATCGCTCCACGACCTCCTCCACCTCAAGAGCGTCGCGCTCTCCGAGGCTTCCTGCAGGTTTGGGGTTTAGGGTTTATAGGGTTTAGGGTTTGGGGTTTGGGGTTTAGGGTTTAGGGTTTAGGGTTTAGGGTTTAGGTGTTGCAGCCTTGACAAACATTTTGGCATGAAGCGGTGGGTGGATGACCAAAGTCACGGGGGCCCTTTTGGGCCACCACGATGCCCAAAGCCATAAGCCTAGGTGCTCTTGTTCCAAATTGTCCGGATTGTTGGCAAGATACATAGTTTTGTCATTTTGTAGCTACATGGCGGATCATGGGGGTGTGGTCGAGCTCCTGGTGCTTCCTTTCGACCTCACACTTATGTCGTGCTGCCCACCATCTTGCATGGATCAAGAGATTGCTGGTGCTGCGCGGTTACCTTATTGAAGACAAGCCACAGTCACTGAACCCTAAATCTGGAAGCACGAGGACGGTGACGTTGATCGTCGTGCAGAGTGCCACACGCAAACGGCATGCGAGCAGTGAGCTGCTGGGAGCTAAGAAGCATTGCTGGAAGCATTGTCTCAGCATCTAAGCAACAAGACACCCTGAACCCAACCTAAACCCTAAACCCTGAACGCTTCTGAACCCTGAACCCTGAACCCTGAACCCTGAACCCTAAACCCTAACCCTCTTTCGTAGACCAGGGTGTCAGCAGAGCGTGCTGCTCAGCACCTGCAAAGTGCTCTGACACCATGGTGCCCTCGGAATGTCGGGACCCCTCTACCTTCACTGGCCCACGGGCCCGCGCGGAGTACCCGACTCCAGCTCCACCCTGGTGTGCGCCCGGATGCACCCATGGCTGGCCAGGGAGGAGCTTTACGTTCTCGGGGCGCCGGGTTGAGGGTTTTTAGGCTTTAGGGTATGGGGTTTAGGGTTAGGGTTTAGGGTTTAGAGGTTTAGAGGTTTAGGGCAGGGCAGTTTCGGAACCTTGCGGTTACCGTGCTTGGGACTGCGTGCGTGTTGATCGCGCAGAAATTGCTTAACTCAAAGCTGTGTCGGTCGAGTGAGTGGACATGCGCGCAAGCATTCCTCGACTTAGTAGTAGAGTAGATAACCTTTAACCTTTTTGGGTTAATATATTCCCCTTATAATCCCAAAGGTTAACCTTTAAAACCCCTAGGTACTGGACAACTAAGTCGAGGAGTGGCAGGACTTTCTTTGCACCCTGTTCTTGCGCAAGCAGAACCGGGAGTTGCAACAGGAGCCGGGGCGCCAGAGGCTTGTCTGCTAAACCCTAAACCCTAAACCCTAAACCCTAAACCCTAAACCCTAAACCCTAAACCCTAAACCCCTTGGGGGGGTGGGGGCGGGGGGGGGGGGGGGGGGGGGGGGGGGGGGGGGGCGTCCAAGAAGAAGAGGCGGCTACGGAAACTTTGGAAAGTTTGTGGGAGCCATATGGAGTGTGGTGTATGAGGCACCACTAGGGTTACCTTCTGGGGTTTAGGGTTTAGGGTTAGGGTTTAGGGTTTAGGGTCTAGGGTGTAGGGACCTCCTTCCCTAAAGGACTTCGCAATCTTTAAGGGTCCATGTACCTCATTACTATGCACTTGGGCCCTAAAGTCACCAAATAGGAGGTACTTTAAGGCCCAAGTATTCCCTATTTAGGTACATGGATTATATCTTGCTTGGTGGTCTCTTTAAGTAGGGTTTCTGTTTTGTAAGGGGGTTCTTATTCGGGTATCTAGGGGCTATAAGGTACAAGGGTAACAGATAAAGAGGCCACCGGCCTTTATACTACATGGACCCTTAGGGAAGCTGCAGCTGTTGGAATCCAGACACTCAGCAGTGCTAGAGATACGTGGGGTTGAGGGTTTAAAGTGGTTTTTGTGTTTCTCTCTGAAGGTAGTGTCATGGGCGCTTAATATCTGGCCCCCTACCTTCTTTAAAGGGTTCTGAGGTTTGGAGGATATATAGGGGTATCTAGGGGGTCACATTTTAAGGGCCCACCCTAAACCCCAAAAAACCTAAACCCTAAACCCTAGACCCATACTAAGGGACCATGCAACTACCCGAAGATACTCGCCTTGACAGCACGCAGTGTAGCCTAGGGCCCACCTAGGAAGGGTGAAATCCTCCCTAAACCCTAAACCCTAAACTGAAAACCCTAAACCCTAAACCCTGTAGACTTTCTCGGCGAGACGATTCCAGTGCTGCTCGGAACGTCTGGATGTTGAAGGGGGTCCTAGACCAGCCTCTTCACCCTACCGGGGATCGATGTCTGCACCACACGTATATGTATGCATTTGTATATATACATATATATATATGTATATATATATATATATATATATATATATATTGTGTGTGTATTGTATTCTCATGACTATACCAACATGTGCACTATTACAGAAAGCGTGCTCATTTGAATATCTTGTTCGGGAGTCATGCCCTAAAGCGAACAATGCACACATACACACTTTGACTTTTCAGGCCTGCACGAATTACGTAGACCCTGAATACACAAACCCTAAACTCCGAATTCACTCTACAGCCTCAATACTTGTTCGTAAAACCCTATGCCTTGCATGGACATCGGAACTGCCTCTAAGATGCCCCTGAACCCTGAACCCAAAACCCTGTACCCCTGAGAGCACACTGTCTGTAGAGTCGCAGACGTACTCATTCACGCACCCATAACCCCCTTTCCCCCTGATTGTGGGAGTCCCTTAATTTCAAGTGACTCAATAAGATCCAAACCCCAAACCCCAAACCCCAAACGCCTGAATGATGTACCCGGGACCTTAATACTGAGAATAGGGTGGTGGGGGCCTATTCTTTAGTATAACCAAAACAGGGACCATAAGGGAATACAATTCGTAACACATTCCGACCCCTACATGACGCTCTACAAACCCCTGAGTCGCCATCCTAGGACCCGGAGTAGGCCCTTATTTCGTTTTTTAGCGTTGAGGTTCCCTTATAATCTCCTAAAAACCAAAAAAGGCGCCCCTTGAATTTCTAGGTTATTCCTGGGTCTAGAATCTTTAAGCCCAGGACCCGAGTCCGCTTGCCTCACCTGGCCGGCTGGCGCGCAGCCGCCATCCAAAGCACGGGAGGGCTACGGCGTCTCAGCGCCGCCCGGCCAGCATGGGGTCTAAGGGTAGGCATATGGTCCCTGACCTTCTTTAAGGGCTTCTGAAGTAATCTAAGGGTAGTTATATGGTCCCTTACCTTCTTTAAGGGGCTCTGAAGTAATCTAAGGGTAGTTATATGGTCCCTTACCTTCTTTAAGGGCTTCTGAAGTAATCTAAGGGTAGTTCTATGGTCCGTGACCTTCTTTAAGGGGTTCTGAAGTAATTAAGGGCCCTTGGGCCTCACAAGCTGGGTCCCCTTCTATACAGGGCCATCGTAAGGGAGTCGCCCGGCCGGCATGGGGGGTGATTATCATGGGACTCTAGTTTCCACCCCTAAGTGTTTAGGGTTTAGGGTTTAGGGTCTAGGGTTTAGGGTTTAGGGTGTACCCTTGGGTTTGGGGGCCCAAGATCCTTTAAGTTAAGGCAGTATAACCCTATAAGGCATGATGATTATGTACTTGGGCCCTAAAGTCCCTAAACAGGAGGTACTTTAAGGCCCAAGTAGTCCCTATTCAGGTAGCCTCAGGTACATGGACCCTTAGGTTAAGGGCCATATTTGATGTACATTCAGGGACACCCCGCAGGGGTACATCCTTAGGGTTCGAGTACGACTGGCTTGTTCTTAAGAGCTTGTTAAGTTTGGGGGCTACATGTGCGTGCGCAAGTATGTACACATGTTTGTATACTTCTTGCTACACTGGATGCATGGACTTACAAAGCTTAAGGATCGGGATGAATGGCTGAACCTTAGGGACATCGCCTAAACTGCAACCATCTCAGCTGCCTCCTCCCCTCCCCTCAAAGCAAACAAAGGAGAACCCGAAACCCTAAACCCTAAACCCTAAACCCGCAACCCTAAACCCTAAACCCTGAAAGTGGCAACAGCTCCTTCCTCGCATGCTGCTTGCAAGGGAGTCATACTCGGATCCCTGAGGATGTACCCCGAAAGAGGTTTAGGGTTTAGGGTTTAGGGTTTAGGGTTTAGGGTTTAGGGTTTAGGGTTTAGGGCCCTTAAAAACCTCCTAGTGCAGCCCTTATCTTCCTTTAGAGGATCTTGAAACTTGGTCCCCAAACCCAAGGCTACTTAGGGGCCCCAAGGTAGAATCGCGAACTCCAAGCGCTCATCCTAGCAGCACCTGCCTCTGTTGCGAGCCCTATACTAAACCCGAAACCGCCGCTTGTCTTGTCACTACAGAAGCCCTAAGCCTTAAGCACTAAACCCTAAATCCTAAACCCTAAACCCACATCTTTGAGGCCTGGTCCTTCGCCCTGGGGCGCCCGAGGTCCCCGCGGGTGCCATCCAGAACACCAGGTCGGGTCGATGCTTCTTTGAGACTTTGGGTGGGTTGGGGGTTTAGGGTTTAGGGTTGAGGGTTCAGGGTTTGGGGTTTAGGGCTTATTAGGGGTTTATAAGGCGTTTGTTTGGGGTTTACGGGCTGTATTGAGGGTTTACCAGGGGTGTTTTTGGGGTTCAGGGTTTAGGGTTTGATGCTTTGAGACTTTCGGGGAGTTTGTGGTTTTGGGTTTAGTAGTGCTTATTAGGGCTTATTAGGCTTTATTCGGGTTTATTGATTAGGGTTGATTAGGATTGATGAGGATTGATTAGTGTTCGTTATGGTTTATCAGGGTTTACTAGGGTTTATTAGGGTTTAGGGATTCAGGGTTTTTTGGGTTTAGGGTTTAGGGAGTTTAGGCGTTTGCTCTTGGCTTAAGGCCGCATATGTATATATGTATATATATATATATACAGGCCGAGGAAGTTTTAAGCGTGTCTGGGAGTTGTAGCTAGATGATTCAACGGGTTCGAAGTTGGGGCGGTGCAAACCCAATTTCGTGTGCTGGTGGATTTGGTTTCAGTTTTTGTTATTTAAGCGTTTTGGGTTTAGGGTGTTGGAAGCTAGGGCTCAGGGGCTGAGGAAGTGCATCCAAGTGCCAGCACCCAACCGATGCCTTGTTCCTTTGTGTTTCTAATTGTCAAATTGCCTCCACAATCTTTACCCTAAGGGTCCATGTACCTCATTATTATGGACTTGGGCCCTAAAGTCCCTAAATAGGAGGTACTTTAAGGCCCAAGTAGTCCCTATTTAGGTACATGGACCCTTAGGGTTATAATCCTTCTAAAGCCTTTCTTGTGAACCTTGACTTGACCTTAAAAACGCGCATAGACCAGCTGAAGCCTTCTTAGCCCTTGTAAAGCCAGATGTGCCGCAAACCCGCGTGAACCTATTAAACCCTTACCAGGATGCCCAGTAGTACCCTTATTCCCTTTTTTTGGGGGGGGTTTAGGTTCCCTTTATAAACCCCTTTAAGCAAAAAAGGGCACCCTCTGGTTACTGGGCAGCCTAGCTTATATAAGCCTTGATCTTTACAAACTTTGCTAAGCCCTTCTGCGCCCGAAGCGCAAGCGATGCACAGCTGCAAGCTCCTTTGGCCTTTTCTCATGTTGGGTAGAGCTCTCCTCTGAGAATAGGTTTAGGGTTTAGGGTTTAGGGTTTAGGGTTTAGGGTTTAGGGTTTAGGGTTTAGGGTTTAGGGTTTAGGGTTTAAGAGTCTATTCTCAGTGTAGGACCGAATCGCAGCTTTGCTCGCTCTGTTCGGATCACGCAGGCCTTCCCTCCAAGCCCGAAGCCCGGAACTCTCATGCCCAAAGGGTCCATGTACCTAAATAGGGACTACTTGGGCCTTAAAGTACCTCCTATTTAGGGACTTTAGGGCCCAAGTCCATAACAAATGAGGTACATGGAACCCTTAGGGATGGCCACGACTTTGCCGGTTTCGATCTCGTTTGTCCGAGCCCGCGTAATGCGATGAGAGGGTATGAGCCCCAAAGCGATATTGAATGAGTTTGGGTGGGTTTAGGGTTTAGGGGTTTGGGGGTTTAGGGTTGTAGGGTACGGTTTAGGGTTTTAGGGTACCCTGAACCCTAACTCCTGACAAAACTGCAGCCCCTCAACGCAGGTGGATGGGCCGAGGTGGTGTTGGGCCGGCTGCTTGGCGAGCCGAAAGCGGGGCTGTGCTTTTGTCTAAACGGGCTCGTCTCAACCCTAAAACCCGAAGCCCTAAACCCACAGAATCCTCAACCCCAGTACCCTAGTACCCTAAATCCTACACCCTAAACCCTAGACCCTAGACCCTAAACCCTAAACCCTAAACCCTAAACCCAACAATTAAATCCTACACCCTGAGCCCTGAAGCTTGAACAGAAGACAGGCTAAGCTTCCGGGCCGCCGTGGTGCTGGACGACGCTGGCGAAGGAGGGCCCCCCAACCGTTTTGCTCGAACTTTCGCGGTTTAGGGTTTAGGGTTAAGGGTTTAGGGTTTGGGGTTTAGGGTTTAGGGTTTGGGGTTTGGGGTTAGGGTTTAGGGTTTAGGGTTTGGGGTCTAGGGTTCAGGGTGTAGGGTTTCGGGCGCGTGCAGAACGGCGATTCCGTTGGGTGTATCGGATACAAGGGTTTCGAGTGTTTTGCAGGGTTTACAGGATGCTTAGGGCTTACAGGATCTACGCTTAGAGGGTAGGGTCTACACAATCTACAGGCTACAGGGTGTCTAGGGTTGTACTTTGTCATAGCTGGGTAACATTTTGTATGTTCAAGGGTACTTAAACCCAACAATGAATAATAAACCCTAAACCCTAAACCCTAAACCCCAACCCTAAACCCTAAACCCTAAACCCTAAACCCTTCTCCCAACCATGAACGAGTGTAGGGTTTTGGGCCAAGCTGCGCTTGTCCGGAGGCCGCGCTTGTGCCTCCCAAGCACTGCAGCTGGGCCTTGCTTGAGAGGGTTTAGGGTTTAGGGTTTAGGGTTTAGGGTTTAGGGTTTAGCTTTTAGGTTTAGGGTTTAGGGTTTAGGGTTTAGGGTCTAGGGTTTAGGGTTTAGGGTTTAGGGTTTAGTGGTTCAGGCTTTGGGCAGCCGTCAGAAGAGTTCCTTTGTGGCAGACGGTATGCTGGAGCACTTCATGAACCTTGTGCCCCAAGCTTCTGTATCTTCTGAAGGAAGGAAGGCCTGAACTTAAACCAAACTCTACTCGTACGTCGCATGAAGGTAGAGGCATTGTTGCTTCAGGAGGGGGAGAGTAGAAGGAGGAGGAGGAGGGGGGTTCCCAGAATAATCTGCACAGACCCCACATCTCTCCAGGGCACGAGGTCGAGGGCTTTATGGGGTTTAGGGTTTAGGCTTTCAGGGTTTAGGGCTAGCGTGCCCTTCTTCAGCTTTCCGATCTTTATCAGACCACCATCCGTCACCGGCTCGCCAGCAATGTGCTCTCATTAGGAGTTTGAAGCCGCAAGATAGTGTCAGGTGGGAGCCTTGAAATCCCCAAGCCTTCAAATCCAAAGCTCAGAAACCCCAAGCCCTAAGACCCTGAAATACTGTCAGATGGGAGCCTTGAAAGCCCAAAGCCCTCAATCCCAAAGCTCAGAAACCCCACGCCCTCAAACCCTAACCTTCCCCCCCTCGCCCCCCCCCCACTTTCCGAACCCTAAACCCTAAACCCTAAACCCCAAACCTAAACCCTAAACCCTAAACCCTACACCCTAAACCCTAAACCCTAAACCCTAAACCCTAAACCCTAAACCCTGCAAGTCGAGGCAAGTTGGAGCGGCAGCCTGCGGTGGCAAACTTTGGGCCGGCTTGACCTTGGCGCTGCTCCAGGACCAGGCCTTCGGGCTTGCGGGGCGCGAAAATCTGGGGGTTTGAAAGGTTTAGGGTTTAGGGTTTAGGGTTTAGGGTTTAGGGTTTAGGGTTTAGGGTTTCTGGGGTTTGGGAGGTTTAGGGTTTAGGGTTTCTGAGGTTTGGGGGGTTTAGGGTTTCTGGGGTTTGGGAGGTTTAGGGTTTCGGGTTTCGGGTTCAAAATTATGTTGGCTTTAGGGTATGTTTGTAGTTTGGCGGTTTTAGTGTAGTTCGTGTGTTTAGTAAGGTTTAGGGTTCATTTCTGAATTGGGTTTGGCCATCGTTTTAAGTTTTACGCAGGGGTTAGATTTCAAAGTGAACTTGGGTTTAGGCCCAAGGCGAGAGTTTGTGCAGCCACTGAGTCGCCTTGGGGTGAGCATTCAATACCCGTTTCTGCATCCAGTTTTCAACTTCGCCCCTACAAAAAGCCCTGCTAAGATGCAGCCTGATTCTTTGTTGAATCTAAGCTCTCAAACGTATTGGTGTCGGTTTCGCCACGGCTGGGTTTCGGGCCTGGACTTTGCGCTTCATGTCGGTATCGGCCTGGGATTTAGGTTTAGGCCGGGTGTGAGAGCATCCCTCGACGGCCACCCTCAAGCCCTAAACCCTAAACCCTAAGCCCTAAATTATAAACCCTAAACCCGAAACCCTAAACCCTAAACCCTAAACCCGAACCCCAGTTTCTACAATGACGCTGTGGGTGGCCAGCTGAGCTTCCCCACCCAAAGCAGGCACACTGGTGAATCCCTGCTAAACCTGCTTCACCCCTGCAGGTTCAACAGCAAACCCTAAGCTCTAAACCCTAAACCCTAAACCCTAAACCCTAAACCCTAAACCCTAAACCCTAAACCCTAAACTCTGCAATGAACCAAAACCTCAACCCTTCAAGGTCTGCCCCTTCCCCTGAGCCTAAGCCCAGGTTCGGGGGTACTTCGAAGCCATTCGAAGCCTTGAAGCCCCTGAGCATCCCAACCGGTTCAGGTGTTAGGGTTTAGGGTTTAGGGTTTAGGGTTTAGGGTTTAGGGTTTAGGGTTTAGGGTTTAGGGTTTAGGGTTTAGGGTTTAGGGTTTAGGGTTTAGGGTTTAGGGTTTAGAACCCCCAAGCCCTCACCCCTGGAGGCTGTACCGACAGCCTCGCATGCGGACCGTGTGTGGGTGGAGATCTTCGGCCGCGGGTTCTCGTTTTCATCTTTGCGGCCCGTCTTCTAAAGCTTCTGAGGTTATTTTCGGCTTGTTGGTTCTTGGAGAATTGATATGCCGACCGCAGCCACAACGACCCCAAATGAACTGAAGTGGGAAGCAGATTCGTCTGACAATGAAGAGAACATCATGAACTATGGAATTCGCTCCCTGCTGTTCCTAATTCCTAACCTCTAAGCCCTAAACCCCAAGCCCTAAACGCCTGCTAGGCTGACGATTTCGGAGTTTCCGCAAAATTCGGGGTGCCTTATTGGGGTCCTTTTTGTTTCAATAAAATCCTACTATGTGGGGGGGGGGGGGGGGTCCCTTAGTATCGTAAACCCCCAATTTATCGATCATGATGTGCCATACCCAAACGGCGCATATGAGCGCCGAGCTATGGCATTCGAGCACCTTTGCCCACCGAAGACAGTGGAATCCAGAAGCCCGATGAACCCAACTCAAACCCAAAACCCTAACACCTTAACACCTAAACCCTGAACCCTAAACCCTAAACCCTAAACCCCTAAACCCTGAACCCAAGATACATGGAGTCGAAGCCCCGGGGACGCCTTGAACTCTGACTCTGACTCTCCACATGCCCCAGGCGGACGGCCCTTGATCTGCCAGGGTTCAGCAGCTCATCTGCAAAACACGAGCTCTGGAGAAGTTCATGGAAACCTTGTATACTTAGGCAAATGGGGGTTTCCGACAATAGGGGTACCCTTTTGGGGGGTCCCCTTGAGGGGATTCTATTCTATGTGGAGTATAATATGTGTGTGTATATACTATACATATATATATATATAGATACATATATTCTGAATATTCGTGTAAATATTTCATACAGAGGTTAGAGTTCTGAATGCCAACCGCAAAACGTAGCCAGAAACCCAGTGTGCTCCCACTCCAAGCAAGCTTTGAGACGCTGCATCGCTCATCCGAAGGGATCAGGGTCTTGTGAAAGAATGCTCGACCGGAACCCTCAAAAACAACTAAGCCCGAAGCCATACACCCTCAAGCCTACACCCTGAAGCCAACAGAGGCAGCATCTTCTTGTTCTCTTTGGTGTCCTCTACTGGCGCATGGGCGCGGGCGCAGGCGTGCGAGTTTGCTTGCTGGGTCCCTGCAACGCGTGGAGTTTAGCCTTGAGGGTTTGTTTGTTCGCTGGCGTGTAGTAGTTGATTTCTAGTAACGCTATCGCGACGCCTTCTTGACACAATGCTTTGCTGTTCCGCTTGAAGTACCGCGCTTGGTTCTCTAAACGAGCGTTGCATCGACTTCGGTTGCCACTGGGCCCGACTCGTGACACCAGACTCGGAGATTCGCTACTACAAGGTACTTGGAGGTTCATGGTACTTATTAACCAGGTATGACTGTAAATATAACCCACTTGTAAGCCCCTTAAGTGCCTTGATATGGCTATAAGTACAATTATAAGTACAGTTAGAATTGGTTAGTAAGTAGCATGAACCTCCAATCAGTATCACTTAAGCTTCGAAGATTCACGTTCCTCGAAGTAGGCAGGCCCGGATTGGGGGTCACCTTCGGACCCTAAGCACCTTGAGCTCTATAGCACAAAATTTCCCGACCCCAGGCCCTCCTCAACCATCAGCTCGAAGGCTTTTTGTTAACCAACGAACCCCAAACCCTACCCTGTAAACCCCTCAACCCTCTAAACCTTAAGCCTCCTAAGCCGTAAACCCTCAGCCCTAAACGCTACAACAGGCCCTACAAACTCTAAACCCTAAACCCTAGACCCTAAACCCTAAACCCTAAACCCTAAACCCTAAACCCTAAACCCTAAACCCTAAACCCTAAACCCTAGACCCTGCACTGCTGGCGAGGCGCTGCACCCCGCGGCCAACGCCATGGGCTCGTTCATTGCGCCCTCGGAGAGCCACGCGCGAGGCATCGCCCTGCCGTGGGCCGTCGACTCAGCAGAGGCTGGGGTGTGGGGGTTTAGGGTTTGTAGGGTTTAGGGTTTGTAGGGTTTGTAGGGTTTGTAGGGTTTGTAGGGTTTAGGGTTTGTAGGGTTGAGGGTTTAGGGCTTCGGTTTATGCGGTTTAGGGTTTTATAGGTTTTAGAGGGTTTGTGGGGATTACGGTTTAGGGGTGCACGTAAGGTTTTGAGTTTCCAGGGTTCAGGATTTGGACTGTAGGTGTCTGTCGGATGCTGTCTGCTACGAGTTGCTGGGGTGCGCTTGGCGGTTTAGGGATTACGGGCTTCATGGAGCAAAACTCCCCAAAGCCCGAGCGCTTCGACTTCGTGTGGGTTAGCTGTTGGTTTTCCTACATTTCGGCACCTATCCGTAAACTCTAAACCCTAAACCCGAAGCCCTAAACCCCTCAACCAATAAGCCCTACACCCCAAATCCCTAAAGCCCCTAACCCCTAAACCCTACATCCCAAAACCCTAAACCCTAAACCCCTATAAGCCCCAAACCCTCAATCCCCAAACCCCTAAACCCTATAAGCCAGGTGCTGGACGCCCGACTGCTCCGGGCGCTGATTGGGGGCCGCCGTGTGGAGCTTGTGGCTGCTTCTGGGCGTGCAGCTGCTGTCGCTAGGGTCCCAAGTACCCTAAGGGTTTAGGGTTTAGGGTTCTAGGGTTCTAGGGTTCTAGGGTTCCAGGGTTTTAGGGTTCTAGGGTTCTAGGGTTCTAGGGTTCCAGGGTTCTAGGGTTCTAGGATTCTAGGGTTTAGGGTTTAGGGTGCCCTAAACCCTGAACCCCCCCTTTGCTTTTTTGTAGTTTTTAGGGGTAAGGCCAGCGATATCCTGGATCGTAAGCCTGCCAGTAAGCAAAACAATTGTGCTGTCTATAGGGGTTCAGACTAGGGCCCCAAACCCTAAACACTAAACCCTAAACCCTAAACCCTAAATCTATAGAACCCTAAACCCTAAACCCTAAACCCTAAACCCTAAATCTATAGGGGTTCAAACTAGGGCCCAAAAAACTCACGAATTCTTTTCACAACCTCGCAACCCTTGGTGGCCTAGGTACGTCTGACTCCTCCGACCACCGACTCAAGCCACCCCTAAACCCTAAACCCTAAACCCTAAACCCTAAACCCTAAACCCTAAACCCTAAGACGCTTGAAGCAGACCCAAGGTCTACGCCAGAGAAGCAGATTCTGGCTCGGTCCGGCAGATGGTTGAGAATCTTTGCAATGGTTTAGGGTTTAGGGTTTAGGGTTTAGGGTTTAGGGTTTAGGGTTTAGGGTTCAGGGTTCAGGGTTCAGGGTTTGGGGTTCAGGTTGGTTTTCCTCTTCGTACATGGACTGAATGCTTTGCCCAACAGAAATGAAGCCCCACAAGTCCTAGTCCCTACTAACCCGTCGTGCAGCCTTCGGACAGCGAAGGCTCAGCGTTCACATTGCGACTCGCAGCACCTTAGTAGCTGAAGAAGTACACTTTATACACTTTTTGGGATACAAAATTCCCTAATATTGAACTGAAAGTGTACACTTTCTTGGGGGGGGGGGGGGAATTTCTGAACTCAGCAACTAAGGAACTGTGTTGTGCCTCATGGGGGAGGAGGCCATGCACGAGTTCGCATCCCTGCTTGTGGAGCTGGGCTTCGAGGTGACGACGTGCTAGAGCTTGAGTTTTGGGAGTTACCTGAAGAACCCCAAGCCTACTTTTTTTAGGTAATTACGATATGAGACCCAAAATAGGATTCTTTGGTAACCTACAGTAATGTAGGCTTCGGGTTTCTAAGGTAGGGGTTAGGGCAGGGTTCAGGGTTCGAAGCTCCCTCAAACCCTTCCTTCATTGCCTAGGCATGATGCTCACGCTGAGACATTAGGAAGCAGACCTAACAACCCCAGACCTTCCAATTGATACAGGAACCGGCGTATTCAATCCGGACAGATGAATCCCTGAACACCAAACCTTGAACCCTAAACCCGAAACCCGAAACCCTAAACCCTAAACCGTGCAAGCCCCATTTTTCAGGAGGTTCCAGCTCCTCCTGTTCTTGCTGCCGACGCCTCCGGGTGCTTCCGGGGCCAAAGGGCATCCAGCAAGAGTCTCGCACCTCGACAGATACTACCCTTCGAAATGTTCCCCCCTATGCTAACAGTCCTCAACAGGGATTATAGTACCCCCTGTGATAATCCCTATTAAGGACTGTTAGTACAAGGGGGGACATCCCTAAACCCTAAACCCTAAACTTTAACCCCAAACCCTAAACCCTAAACCCTAATCCTAAACCCCAAACCTAAAACCAAACCCTAAACCCTAAACCCGAACCAAAGTACCCTGGGTATCCCTGGACAGTGGGACAGGCAACCCTCGTGCCTCAAGACTTGCCCTAAGCGTCCATGCACCTCCTTTGCTATGGACTCGGACCCTAAACCCTAAACCCTAAACGCTAACTAACCCTAAACCCAATGGGAGGCGCTTTAAGGCCCAAGCATTCCCTATTCAGGTACATGGACACCATGGGTTGGAGATTGTTCTCACTTTTTGTCCTGGCTGGTCCTAGACCCGCCCCGCTCCATAACCAAAACCGTAGTTTGCAACAGGAAGGGGTTAGGGCAGAAGCCGCTGGGTAGAAACTGTGCCACCAAAAAGCCGAGAGTTCTGCATTGTACCTGCAGTGCACTTTTTCTAATTTTTTTTTGCGCGCGCGCGCGGGTGTGTGTGTGTGTGTGTGTGTGTGTGTTCTGATTTCATGCTCTGTACTTTGCAGGCAGTGGCCCTCCGGAGTAACCTGCACAAGTACTGGAAAGTACTGGGCTCTTGTCAGGGGCCTTAAACTAAGTTACCAGAATCTGCATACGATATTGTTCACTAAAAAATGTTCCTAATCATGGTAGCTGAGTGGAAGTTCCTTAGCAAGAGCCCCGAGTAAGAGTCAACCTGCATCCTTCGTGCGACCAAGGCACCTTCCACAGTGCGCGCGAATTCGTTGAGACGACTTGGCCTCCACCTACAGGCCATCTAAACCCCCAAATCCTAAACCCTGAGCCCTGCACAATTAAGCCTAAAACCCTAAACCGAAACCCTATAGGGTTAGGGGCTGGGGGTTCATGTGGTTGAGGGTTCCTGAACTCCAGGAACGCATGCGTCGGAAACAGAACAAAGTAAGCATCGGAGATCCAAAAGTCCCAAACGCTCTACGCTCCACCAGCTCCTGAAACACAAACCCTTAACCCTAAACCCGAAACCCTAAACCCTAAACCCTAAACCCTTAAGCCTCAGCTCCCTCCAAGTCTCTAAGCCCTAAAACCCAAGACCCAAGTCTCTGAACCCCCTTGAAACCTTATACCCTATAAGCAAGATAAGTCTTAGCCTGGCTGAACCCTATACATAAGCTACCATATAAAGCGTAAACCATAAAACTTAAGTGAGATGCCTTTGGAAGGCCCTAAGCCCTAAACCCTCAACCCTAAACCTTAAATCCTAAACCCCTAACCCCTAAACCCTAAACCCTAAACCCTAAACCCTATCCAGGGCAGCCTTCCTGTGGCCCGGCTGTCCGGTGGCAGCTTGAGCATCCCAGCGCCGAGGACGCCGCGGTTTCGGGTCTTTCGGGGTAGGGTTTCGGGTTTCGGGTTTAGGGTTTAGGGTTTAGGGTTTAGGGATGTTACCTACAGTTTTATGGGTTATACCTACTATTGAGGGGGTAGTTTCCACAAACTGTAGGTAAATAGAGTCCCAGGCAGAGTTTTGGGGGGTTTTAGGGTTGAGTGTTGAAGGGCTCAGGGTTTCGGGGTCATACGGTTCAGGGTTTCACGATCAGCCTTGGGCTGTGGGGTAACAATACCCCTTCAGGAATGGGACTGAAGTGCAACAAACAGGGTTTCTTACAGAAAGCGAACGAAGCTTTGTCTGGGGAAGGGCTGGCTTGACGAAGCTAGCTATCCTAGGTAGGATAAGGGGGACCCTCAAAAGGGAACCCTTCTTAAGCCTCTTCCGGCTCTCTTAAACAGGGACCTTATTCAGAGGGTCTATATCCCGAAGGGTCCCCGGGCGCTGGGCTCTCCAGGACCAAGTTTCTTCGCCCAAGTAGCCGGCCTAACCCCTGGACCCTGAATTCCATGCACCCCAACCCTATACTCACCCTAAACCCTAAACGCTACACGCCAAACCCTAAGCCCTAAACCCTAAACCCTAAAACCTAAACCCTAAACACTACCTAGAAAACCCTACAAAGCCTGCATAACCTGAACCCAAAGCCAGGATCTGGATCGAAGTGGGCTGTAACAACTGGGAGATGTTGCTGGACAGCCTTCCCAAGGAATCATGGTCTTACCTAAGGGTTTAGGGTTTAGGGTTTAGGGTGTAGGGTTTAGGGTTTAGGGTCTAGTTTGAGGTTAAGGAAAACTTGGGGGAGGGCGGCTGGAATTGAGGGTTTTGATTTTAAGTATTCCGGCCTCGATTTTGGGCCCTGTGGCAGGGCTGCCAGATTTTGTCTCAGGGTTTAGGGTTTAGGGTCTGGGGCTCAGGGTTTAGGGTGAGCCCTTAGTTGGGCATTCAAAAACTGGGAGGCCATGTGCTTAGGGTTCTAAAGCCTCCCCCTCACCGACACCCTATACCCTCAACGCCCTCCCCAAGGATGGCTCGGTGTGGCTGCTGACCTTGGAGCCTTTGGTGGACAAGTTCGCCTTCATCCAGAGCCTCCGAAGACCCCTGGCATGTACCCTTATTCCTTTCTTTAAGTTTTTTTTTTTTTTTTTTTTGGGGGGGGGGGGGGTTACTTAGGCTCGCTTTTTTCCCTCTTTTGGCACCCAAAAAAAAAGGGTGCACCCCCTTTTAAAAGCCGCTGGTTTACTGGGCTGGGCAGCCTAGGGCCGCATCACCTGGTGCTACCCTTTGCAGTGGCCCCAAAGGCCATGGGACACTTCTCGGCCATCCGGTCCCAGAACTACAGCGCGGCTTGGCCCTAAACCCTAAACCCTCGAAGAACGGACTTTAAAGAGGAGTTGGAAAATTTGGACCGCCAGCGAAATAAAGATGCAGACAGTAATTTTGAATTTCAGACAGTTAACGGGCACCACAAACTCTGAACCCTAAGCCCAGTTGAACTAGGACCCAGGGTAGGCCCTTAGTCCCTTTTTTTCGGGTGCAGGTTCCCTTAGAACCCCCTTTAAACCCCAAAGCGCACCCTTTCATTCCTAGGTTTCTCCTGGGTCTTGTGAAATTACCGGCGCAACCTAGGACTTCAGGGGGCGGCCAGGTGCACGTTTTCAGGAGAGCGGTGCCAGCTCTCTCTTAAGCTACGCCTCGGGCTTCCGGGACCACCAGTGGGAGGGCGCCGCGGCGCAGTATGCGAACTTCCGGGAGTACCTGGTTTCTTGGGTGCTCTTGGGCAGCTGGTCGAATCTTAAAGTCCATGAGGTGCTTGTGCTGTTTTTGCAGCCACATTTGTTGTGCACTGAACGCAAGCCAGAGACACGAGTTGCGTGGTGCCGGTTTCCCTAATCCCTAAGCCCCATAGCCCTAAACCCTAAACCCTAAACCCTAAACCCTAAACCCTAAACCCTAAACCCTAAACCCTAAACCCTAAACCCTAAACCCTAAACCCTAAACCCTAAACCCTAAACCCCAAACCCTACCAGTTTCCAGAGTCGGAGCCGAAGGTTCCGACGGTGACCCTGGAGTGGATTCTGGGCGTTCTTCTCGGCGGCCGTGAGGTCGAGTTCCTGAAGCTAGGATGCCCAATAGTGCCCTTCTTCCCTTTTTGGGGGGGTTTAGGTTCCCTTACAAACCCCTTTACACAAAAAAGGGTACCCTTGTTAATCCTGGGTTACTGAGCATCCTAGGAAGATTGATGCGCAGGGCCTGGACTTTGGGGTGTTCACCTCATTGGGGTCCTTCACCGACCGCGCTCCTTGGTAGCCCAGTGGTGCCCTTTTTGCCCTTTTTGTCTTTGGTTATGGCTTCCCTTAGTTTGGGGTTCAGGGTTTAGGCTTTAGGGTTTAGGATGCCGTTCTTGTGATGTGGCTACTGGCCTACCCAAGGTTCAGCGTGTACAGATGGAGTTGCACGAACATGTCAGGCACGACGGGGAGACAAAGTGCAGCGAGGTCGTCAAAGTTATGACCACCAAGCACGGCTTCGTGCCAGTGAAGGGCGCCTGCAGCAAGTTCGACCCGAAGGTGCATGATGAGACGGACATCGTTTTTGCAAAGAAAAACCACTACTCTGCGAGCTGGGTTAGTTAGGCTTTAGGGTTTAGGGTTTAGGGTTTAGGGTTTAGGGTTTAGGGGTTTATTGGGTTTAGGGTTTCAGGGTTGAGGGTTAATTGGGTTGATTGATTTGCACGCACTTATGGCCTGCCGGCGGCAACCTATCAGTAAGTCACCCCAGGCCGAGCACCCCAACATGCCTTGAATATTACAGGGGTTCACAAGGGTGGTTGTCAAAATTATGGTCCCTTTTTGGATCCCTATTATAATACGGCACCTAATATTTAGGGTACCCCAAAAGGGATCATAATTTTGACAACCACCCACAAGGGTTTAGGGTTTAGGGTTTAGGGTTTAGGGTTTAGGGTTTAGGGTTTAGGGCAACTTAGGGGTTTCCGATATTAGGTGTACCTTATTGGGGTGCTGATTATCATGCGATCCTACTATTTGGGGGTTTAGATTAGGGGTCGCTTGCTATCGGAAACCCCCATACAGGGGTCGGAGTCATTACGAATGCTATTCCCTTATGGTCCCTTTATCATTAATACTATAATATTCCGAAGACCCCGTTCTAATCCTTCAGGCCCCTATAGTACCCTACACCCTAATAAGCCCTAACGCGGGGGGGGGGGGGGGGGGGGGGCGGGTCCTAAAATCCCTATGAAGAGGGGGAACCCTAACCCTAAACCCCAAACCCATAAAACCCTCAGCCCATGCAGGCACAAAAGCGCAAGCTGGTCTTGCACATGGCCGAAGGGGTTGCGCCCGACTCCTAGCCGAGAAACATGTGGGATTCGGAGGAAGTTTGCGTTTAAGTTTTGAGGTCTTTTTGGGGGCTTTTAGGGATGAGTTTTGGATCTAAGGTTTCAGGTTTGGGCTTTAGGGGTTTCGGGGGCTTTGGGCCTTCGGATGATTAGTGTTTGGGGGTTTAGGGTTGAGGGTTTAGGGTTATGTGAAATTAGGTTCGTGTCTAGGTGGGCCCTTGGGATCAGAGTCTTTCTTATTCGGTTTAAGCGAACCGCAGGCAGGTTTTACTCTTTTGTTTAGGTTTTAGGGTTTAGGGTTGAGGGTTGAGGGTTGAGGGTTTAGGGTTTAGGGTTGAGGGTTTAGGGTTTAGGGTTTAGGGTTTAGGGGCTTTGGGCCAACCCTTGTTTTGGAGGAGCCAGACAGCGTACAAGACTGCCCCTGTGCCGTGATTGTGCGGATTCTGTGGTTTCACAATCGGCCGGCCCGGCTTTCTTGCTAGCAGTTCTAGTTCTACTGATGAACAGATTGGCTGGGGTTTACGGTTCATAAGGTTTAGGGTTTCACCTAAGCCAAGAATAGGCTGAAATCGAAGCCCTAGAGCCCTCAAGCCTTTCAAATGTTAAATCCAGCGCTGCCCTGCAGCCGCTCTCGAGGTTTCTACATGGCCAGCGGCCACCGTTCAGCTGGCGAGATTGTGCACCACGAAGTTGGGATGTCCCACCCTCTTACTAACGTCCTTAATAGGGATTATAGTAAGGGGGGGGGGGTACTAAAATCCTTGTCAAGGACTGTAAGTATAAGGTGGTATAAGGGAGCATCCCAACCACAAAGCCTTACAAAGACCTCTAACATTTGGACCCAAAGTGAGCCATGTAATTCGCTCAACAACCTCCTCAAACCCCAAACTAAATTCCTTTCCCCCCCCCCCCCCCCCCCAGAGAATTAAAATCAACGAATACACCCGAAACTGGAACCCTAAAGACACTCCATTTGGAATCTGGAATGGACTGGCACGATGGAGCTCCGTCCAAAACCAGAGCAGCCTTTGCATAAGGGGAGTGTCCAAGAAGCACAGTCTAGGATTTAGGCTTGGGACAGATAGTCCTTCTTTATTTATACCTCTCTCTCTATATATATACCTCTCTTTATATATATAAAGTGATATGCGTATATGTATAATATATATATATATATATGGTTCAGCGTCGGGCGTTCCCGGCCCCCCCCCCCCCCCATGGCCCCCCCCCCCCCATGGTATCCCCCCCCCCCCAAGTCTACTCTACGGTCCCTAAACCCTAAACCCTAAACCCTAAACCCTAAACCCTAAATCCTAAACCCTAAACCCTAAACCCCTAAACCCCTAAACCCTAAACCCTAAACCCTAAACCCTAAAACCTAAACCCTAACCCTAAACCCTAAACCTTAAGTCTTAAACCTTAAACCCTAAACCCTAAAACCCTGAACCCTAAACCCTAACCCTAAAACCAACCCCCAACCACACCACAGGGGGGGGAGGGGGGGGTATCATCTTAGTACCCCATCCGCGGGGAAAACCCTAAACCCTAAACCCTAGACCCTAAACCCTAAACCCTAAAACCCTAAAACCCTAAAACCCTAAAACCCTAAAACCCTAAAACCCTAAAACCCTAAAACCCTAAAACCCTAAAACCCTAAAACCCTAAAACCCTAAACCCTAAACCCTAAAACCCTAAAACCCTAAAACCTAAACCTAAACCCAAACCGAAAACCCTAAAACCAACCCCCAACCACACCACGGGGGGGGGGGGGGGGGCCGCCGGGGCTGAACCATATGTATGTATACACGTGTATATCCCATTTTCATGGGATGCCAAGGGATGACCTTGGTAACGTGTTAGGCTGCTGTGCCTTTAGCTGCTGAGACCAAGGAGCCCCCAGCCAAGGCCGCGAACATAGGGTTAGAGGTTTAGCAGGGTTTAGAGTTTAGGGGTTAGGGGTTAGGGGTTTAAGGGTTTGGGGTTAAGGGTTCAAGGGTCTAGGGTTCAGAACTTCGGCCTTTTGCAGAAAGTCGTATACTGCTTTGGCAGGTTCGTCCACCGTGACCTGAAAAGCGCCAACGTGGTCCTCGATCAGGACGTGAGCTTCACGTTCAAGATAGTAGTGTAATCTAGGACCAGGAGTAGACCCTTATTCCCTTCCATTAGGGTTTAGGTTCCCTTATAACCCCCCTGTATCCCAAAAAGGGCACACTTTTAATCCTGGGCTACTCTTGGGTCCAGTAACGGGAGAATCAAACCATAGTGACCTAATCGACCGACCGCATCTTATGAGGACCTGAACGCAAAGCTTTGCGACTTTGGCATCACCGAGCCTACGTCTCAGCAATCGTATTCAAATCCTGCGAGTGCGCCATGAATACCGAGCAAGAGGCTTCGAGAAACATGTGAGAACAAATAATTAGAAACATGAACGGCGCCCCCGCCGCCCCCGCCGCCGCCATCATCGTCGGCGTCGTAGTCGAAGCAGGAGGAGGAGGAGCAGGAGGAGGAGGAGGAGGAGCAGGAGGAGGAGCAGGAGGAGGAGGAGGAGGAGGAGGAGGAGGAGGAGTAGGAGGACTAGGAGCAGGAGTAGGATGAGGAGTAGGAGGAGTAGGAGTAGGCGTAGGCGTAGGAGTAGGAGAGTAGGAGAGTAGGAGAGTAGGAGGAGTAGGAGTAGGCGTAGGCGTAGGCGTAGGAGTAGGAGTAGGAGTAGGAGAGTAGGAGTAGGAGAGTACGAGGAGCAGGAGTAGTAGGAGTAGTAGTAGTAGTAGTAGTAGTAGTAGTAGTAGTAGTAGAGGAGTAGAAGAATAGAAGAGTAGCAGAGTAGAAGAGTCGAAGAGTAGACGAGTGAGTAGAAAATGTAGAAGTAGTCGTAGGACTGCTGCTACTATTTTGACTATCATATGAGGATGGGGATATATTGGGGACACCTGGAGATACTATTTGGGTTTGGATGGCACAGCACAGGCAAAAGAAAACAGAGTGTTGCTGATTAAAGCCATCCTGCAACCTTCAAAGCGAGAATCTCTATGTGCAAGTACTCCGAAAGCCTCTCTTTAGCAAGGCCCTACTGACCCTGCACCCTAAAAACCTAAACCCTAACCTCTGAACCCTAAACCCTACAAGCCCTAAACCCCTTCCTTAGCAAGGCCCATGGAGCGAACCCACATCAGCCGGCGCGCGGCGGAAGCTGGGTCACCAAGGCTTGGCGTCAAGGAGTTTAGGATTGAAGGCCCATGGGTTTAGTTAGGGCTTAGTGTTTCGGGTTTAGGGTTTAGTGTTTAGGGTTTAGGCTCATGGCTTTAGGTTCAGAGTGGCTTTGTAGACCGAATGAGTTCAGGGGGCCGCTCAACGCAGCCCAAAAGGAGTAAGGAGAGTCGGTGCTCGCACATGGAACAAGTGATAAACAGACCTGGTAAAGGCGCATACCCAGAATGGAGACCCAACAGGCCTTGACAGCCAGTTGCATATCCTAGTAGTAGAGTAGGTAACCTTTAACCTTTTCGGGGTAGTAGAATCCCCTTATGATCCCAAAGGTGTTATCCTTTAATTGCCCCAGGTTACTGGACAACTGCGTTGTGGTGCTGGTGTGTTGATGGCGCACTTTGGGCTCAAGACACACGACCACGACCCCGGAAGTCCCTTCTTGGCCACCCCGTGGCAATTCTTACCCCCAAAAAACCGAAGCCCCGAAACCCAGTCGCTCGTGGTAAGCCCTAGATAGCGCGAGAACCCTAAACCCTAAACCCTAAACCTTAAACTTTGGGTGCAGGTACATGGCTCCAGAGCTCTTCGACGGACGCTCCAAGCTCACCGAGACTTGTCAAATTATTAGCTGCTGAGACCAACGAGCCCTTAGCCAAGGCCGTCAACCTAGGGCTAAGGGTTGAAAAGGGTTTAGTTTAGTGGTTTGGGGTTGAGGTTGAGGGTTTAGGGTTTAGGATTCCACTGTCTAGGTGTGAGAAAGACGAGAAGCCACCACAATGTTGAAAAGAGGTAGATGGAGATTTCATATCTTACCATCGAATATATTCACTGGGTTTCTAGGAAAATGCAATGTTTTCAGTAGTGGAGTTATTCGAGAATTGAAGAAATGGACAATGTATGTAGGTTTTTTGGTCGAATTGCCCTTGTAATGCCCTCCGCAAGGACATTTTCCTAAACATGGAAATGAAATGGGGAACCCTAAACCCTAAACCCTTGGGTCCAGTGTGCCACCCAAAGTGCAACAACTAGAATTAACTTCGAGTGTAAGGCCGCCATGAAACCCTAAACCCTTTCGGTCCTCACATCCCGACAAGCGGTGTAAAGCCTACCGAACCCCCAAGAAAACCTGCATAAACCCTACCTGGGACCCTCTGTACCTACAGATTTATGGGTTATACCTGCGAATTAAGGGGCAATTGCTACTGAACCGTAGGTAAATAGAGTCCCAGCTGTAAGGCATTAGTAAGCCCCAAGAAGTCAGACCTCAACTGCGAAGCCAAAAGGAGAAGCCCTGCAGACCCCACACTACAAACCCTAAACCCTAAACCCTAAACCCTCTACCCTCTAAACCCTAAACCCTAAACCCTACACGCCGTATATTGCCCACGCAAGCCTACAAACCCTAATGAACCCTATGTAAGCCCAACCGACCCTAAGCAGCCCCATGGAAACCCTGATAAACCCTCTCAAAAACCTATAAAACATCTCCCAGGGAAACCCTCAATAAGCCCTGTGGAAACCCCTGGGACCCAGAGTAGGCCCTTATGCCCTTTTTTTTCAGGTTCAGGTTCCCTTGGATTCCCCTTTACACCGAGGGTGCCCTTTTTTTTCCGACGTTACTCTTGGGTCTAGCCTTGTAACACCCTTCGCATACTGATTTATTCCGACCCCTTTTTTTGTAGACCTGAACAAGCCCTATGGAAACACTGATAAACCCTTGTAGCGCCCTCTTAATACAATGCCAAGGAGAAACTAGACATTTGGGCCCTTGGCTGCCTCGTCGTCGAGGCAGGGGCTGCTGAGCTGTGAGTCGAAGCCTTGATGCCTCAACCCTGTTTAGGGTTTGGGGTTTAGGGTTTAGGGTTTCGGGTTTAGGGGGTAGTAATGGCAAGTAGAAACATGGTCCGGGGGGCCTGACCTGCAACAGTAGTGCACCCTAAACCCAAAACCCTTAGCCCTTAACCCTAAACCCCTAAAACCCTTTAACCCAGCCTTTCCCTAAACCCTAAACCCTAAACCCTAAACCCTAAACCCCAAGTAGCTACTGGGACTTGTACATGTTGGACCTTTCAGAGTCGTTAGGGTCGGGGCTGCACCCTCGAAGCCTGCAGGCCTAGAAGCCCTGATCAAAGGGCAGCTCAAGGTCAAAAGTCGTAGCTGCTTTTGGGGTGTAGGGTTCGGGTTTAGGGTTTAGGGTTTAGGGTTTAGGGTTTAGGGTTTAGGGTTTAGGGTTGAGGGTTTAGGGTAAAGGGCAAAGGGCAAAACCCTATATACCCCTAAGGGTCCATGTACCTAAATACGGAATACTTGTGCCACTTGTGCCTCAAAGTACTCGCTCTATAGGGGCTTTGAGGCCCAAGTATATCATAATGAGGTACATGGACCCCAAGGGTAAACTTTCACTGTTATATTGCAAAAGGCTTTAGACCTCAAACACCATAGCCCCGAGGTACCTCAAGCACGAAACCCCAGACGCCTTAAACCCTAAGCCCACAACTGCCCACCTGAAGCTATCACTCCCTGTAAACCCTAAATGCCCCCAACACCCTGCACACCCCTCAACGCCTTAAACGCCCCAGCAGCCTGAACACCCCAACCACCCTAAAAAAAGCCTTGAACACCCTAAACGCCTAAACACCCTAAGCCCCTAAGCCCCCTAACCACCCTAAACACCCCAAACCTCCTAAACCCTCAAGTAGTTGGGGTTGTTAAACCCTAAACCCTAGCCCTAAACCCTAAACCCTAAACCCTAAACACCCGACAAAGATCAGCCCAAAACCTCCGAGCGTCAGGCCTTGACGAGCCGAAACCCGCACGAGGAGTGCACCAATGTACAGCAGGTGGCTTCTTGGGGTTTTGGGGTTTTGGGGTTTAGAGGTTTAGGGATTTAGGGGTTGAGGGGTTGAGGGGTTGAGGGGTTGAGGGGTTGAGGGGTTGAGGGGTTGAGGGGTTGAGGGGTTGAGGGGTTGAGGGGTTGAGGGGTTGAGGGGTTGAGGGTTGCGGGTTGAGGGTTTAGTGTAGGGTGGAGGATTGAGGGTTCAGGGGTTTAGGGTTGCGCGTTTGCAAGGGTGAAACTGAGGGTTACGCTGGATTTAGGGCTTGGGGGTTAGGATCCGAAGACCCCCATCTGTTGGACAGCTTTAGGGTTTAGTGTTTAGGGTTTAGGGTTTAGAGTTTAGGGTTAGGGTTTCGGGTTTAGGGTTCAGGGTTCAGGGTTCTAGGGTTCCTCTGGGTGTATAAGGGAATTCGTGTTGGTTAGGGTTTAGGGTTTTTGGTTTACGGTGAGGGTTCAGCGTTCCCATGTTGTATTTGGGAAATAGGGTACGTATATTTTGGGCTTAGGGTTCAGGGATACCCTAAACCCTAAACCCTAAACCCAAAAACCCTAAACTGGTTGGTCAAGGGAATGAAGCTCGTTTTGGGGGCCAGACGGGTGATTGCAGGTGGCGACGAAGCTGCTCGTGCGCATGGAGCCTCCCTTCCAGGCCTACGGGTTCTGGGTTGAGGGTTTCGGGTTTAGACGTTTTGGGTTCAGGGTCTGGGGCTTAGTATATACTTGGGCCCTTGCTGGCGTGCTTGGCAAAGGTCACAACCCTAAACCCTAAACTGCAAAACCTACCTGCAATCCGGATCGACGGTCTCGGAAGTTGGTAGATTCTCACCCCACTTCATGGGGTCGTGAGCAAGTAAGACGGGAGCTTAGAAGCTTGGGATTAAAAAACCCAACCCCTAAACTGCAAACCCTCGACCCTAACCCCTATTGAGGGGCCACTGGAGCCTGGAGGTGTGCAGGGACCTGGGGTAACTGCAGCAAAACTTGAAAGGCTGGGAAGCATGACTGCATGAAATAAGTTTTTTGGGGTTAGGGTTGAGGCGTTGAAGGCTTTAGGCTTTAGGCCGTAGGGTTGACCTTAGACCACCCTAGTTGTGTGGGTGTTGGGTGTTTTTGTCTAGGGTATCTGCATTGCAGGGTCTACAGCCTGAAAGTCTTCTTGGTCGAGCCCTAAGGGTCCATGTACCTTATTATTCTGTACTTGGGCCCTTTTAAAGTCCCTGAATAGAAGGTACTTTGAGGCCCAAGTCTTCCCTATTTGGCTACACGCCCTAAACCCTTAACCCTAAACCCTAAACCCTAGACCCTAGACCCTAAAACCCTAAACCCTAAACCTTAAACCCTAAAGCGCATGGACCCTTAGGGGAAGCGCCGTTTTTTTTGGGTACATGGACCCTTAGGGTAAGGAAACGAAGGGCTTAGGGGGAACGTAGAAGTCGATCTGCGCCGCAGACGCAGGACGGCTGGGCACTTGGCCTCAACACAGAGGCCAGGCCCTAAACCCTAAACCCTGAACCCTAAACCGAAACCCTAAACCCTAAACCCTAAACCCTAGAGGGCGTTACAAGGGTTTATCAGGGTTTCCATCGGGCTTGTTAAGGTGTATTATAGGGGTCGGAAGAATTACAAATCCTTTTTCCTTCTGATCCCTTTGTAAGTGCACTATAATAACCCGCCAAAACCCTATTCTAGTTCTTAAGGCCCTATATTAAACCACCCACCTGCGAAGCAAAGGATGGCTCTGAGTAGCATCCTTGGTTGGGGTTTTGGGTCCAGATGTTTTTGGTTTGTAGGTTCAGGGTTCAGGGTTTAGGGTTTGGGGTTTAGGGTTTAGGGTTTAGGGTCTAGGGTTGAACCCTAAACCCTAAGCCCTAAATAACATCTTTGCTGGGTTTGGAGGGTATCGGCTTAGAGCCCCTTTCTCTTCCTCAAACACGAGGAGGTATCACCGTTTCCGGGCACTTGGCTACAGGAAAAATTCCACAAACCCTAAACCATAAACCCTGAACAGAGAGCGCAGCCCCCAGCTTTGCTTGCAGTGTTGCTTGCAGCATGGCCCCAGATACACTCTGGGGTCTGGAGATTTAGGGTTGAAGGTTTGGGGTTTAGGGTTCAGGGTTGCATGCTGGTTCAGATGTTTGGATGTTCTTCGTAAACGAACTGTTCAAGTGTAGGGCAGCAAATCGGAGTACATTCCACGTGCAGTTGAGGTCCTATGGGGGTTTCCAAAAGTATGGGTACCCTTTTTGGGGTTCCCTAATCTGGATTTTCGTATTTATGGGGTATATTAGGGGACCCTATTTTCGGAACCCCCCTCTGAGTAGTGCCTGGGTACGTGCAACTGTGAGCTTTTACAGGAAAATCAGTTCTGCCGGTGAAGGGATTCTGTGAGGGACACGGGGCCTAAACCCTAAACCCTAAACCTTAAACCCCCGAAGACGCGAAATCCTCGTTGGCTCCAGCCCCTCTCTAGCGACAAAGAAGTGCAGGGGTTAAGCTGGTTTAGGGTTTAGGGTTTAGGGTTTAGGGTTTAAGGTTTAAGGTTTAGGCATTAGGGTTTGGGGTTTAGGGTTTAGGGTTTAGGGTGTGGGTTTAGGGTTTAGGGTTTAGGGTTTAGGGTTTAGGGTTTAGGGTTTAGGGTTTAGGGTTTAGGGTTTAGGGTTTAGGGTTTAGGGTTTAGGGTTTAGGGTCTACCCCCTGCTGAAACCAGGCCCAAATGACCAGGAGTCAAAGCTTGCGGTATGGGAAGTAGCGTTTAAGGTGCTCAGAGTAGGGATGACCGGTGAACCGCCATATTGAAATATGTTTGAAACCCTAAACCCTACACCCTAAACCCTAAACCCTAAACCCCAACTCACAGAGCAGGTTACCCACCTCACGCGATCCTGCTTTACGTGGGACACAAGCTGCCGACCTTCGGCAGCTGCAATTCTGGAGGCGGTTTAGAGGGTGTTGGGGTTTAGGGTTTAGGGTCTAGGGTGTTGGGGTTTAGGGTTTAGGGTTTAGTGTTTAGGGATAGTTAAGGTTTTGTAGGGTGGGGAGGGGGGGATAGGGTTCAAGAGTTTAGCATTTGGGGGGATTTGGGGTAGCACTTTACCCTATTGCTCTCAGGACGCCTACTTCATGGGTTGGGGGGGGGGGGGGGGGGGTAGCGGGGAGGTACCCGTCCTTGGAGTCCTTAGGTATACAAGGTTCGTGTGGGTGGGTGGAGGCTAGGAGCTACAATGTCTGCGACAACCCCAGCCAAGAAACCCTGACTGGTTGCCGGGTAGGTTGCTGCCTTGAGCTGTGAGGGTTGCGGTTGCAGGGTTGTGGAAAGTCTTCATGTGCGTCCGTCGCACGCTTGGAGAGTCAGTTGTTTGATGGATTGTGCTTTGCTCAAGCTCCTTGGAAGCTAAGCCCCCGAACATCAGGAATAAGTATAAAGTCAGTCACTAAACCCTAAACCCTAAAACCCTATAAACCCTAAACCCTAAGCTCAGACCCTCATTCCCAAAACCATCCCTAAAACCCACCAAGCAGCTTCGCGCGAGCGTCGAAAACCCAAGTCCACGGATTTTTCTCCTTGTCCAACCCCATAGCAAGGCCTCGAAGTTTAGGGTTTAGGGTTCCCCCCCCCCCCCCGGCAAAGAAGATGAAGTAGGGGGGGGCCCAGGTACTAGGTACACCGTAAACCCGAAGCCCTAAGCCCCCCAATACCCTAAACCCTAAGCCCTAAACCCTAAAGCCGGCATCGCGAGCAGCATGCGAAGCGCTTCTCGAACGCCCCGCAGCGTTCCCAGAGAGTTCTTATGGGCCTATATACTTATACTGGTTCTTAGAAAGGGAAATTTGAAAGCTAGGTGCCCTGTATATGTAGTAATAACTACAACACGACTAGTGACGATCAATCCTGTAAACGGGTTATATAAGGGAACGTCAGGCACTTGATTTCTTAGTCAGAATAACTGTTGCAAGTGCACATAGGGTGTCAGGGTTGTTTGGGTTTCGGGACTCAAGGTGTAGGGGGGTTTTGGGTTAGCCCCAGCAAATCAGCACAGGAGATCTTGATTGAAACACAAGCTGAATCCCTAACGAAACCCTAAACCCTTAACCCTCAATGTGAGCAGATCATTGCAGCAGCAAAAAATGCCACAACACTTTAAAAAAGCAATGCTAAACTAAATCCACCCTACTTGAAGGTCGTAACCGTGTAGGGACTGGGTGTTCGCCTGGTCTTGCTTGTGATGTTTCTGGAAGCGTTTGCTGCGCATTACTGCTCGTAGTTCTGCCTGTGCTAAACGCCACGCCACGCTGAGTCCTTCCCTTGTCTCCTGGCCATTCGGAAACCCTACCCCACTCGAAAACCTAAACTCGCCCTAAACCCAAAACTGTAAATCCATTGTCTCCTAACCGTTCGGGTGGTGTAATTTGCAACAAGGTCCTAACCAGCTCAGCTGCTTCACGCAGCCTGCATCCACTGGGAAACCAGGAGCTTGAGATTTCTTGGGGTTTAGGGTTTAGGGTTTAGGGTTTAGGGTTTAGGGTTCATTAGGAGATAGGATGTGGAGACCTGCACAGTGCTCGGCGAGGCTACTGACCACAACAGGAGTTCTCAAACCAAATGTCCATTTTGGCAGCGGATTGGGCTTCCAATCGGCCGACTCATCTCGGGTTTTACGGGTTTTTGGGGGCTTAGGGTTTAGCCCCAAAACCCTACACCCTGGGTTTAGCCCCAAAACCCTAAAACCCTCGACCCTAAACACCTTTTAGGGTTTAGCCCCCAAAGCCCTAAAACCCTTACCCCTAAGGTTTAGGGCAGCATTGGCAAGACCAAGCACTGCACAACGGATGCGGTTTAGGGTTTAGGGTTTAGGGTTTAGGGTTTAGGGTTTAGGGTTTAGGGTTTAGGGTTTAGGGTTTAGGGTTTAGGGTTTAGGGTTTAGGGTTTAGGGTTTAGGGTTTAGGGTTTAGGGTTTAGGGTTTAGGGATGTTTAGGGTTTAGGGTTTAGGGTTTAGGGTTTAGGGTTTAGGGTCTCGCAACACCCTTCAGCGTAAGCCTCGGCCCGCCAAATCTTTACGTCAACCCTCAACCCCCGGACTCCGGAATCTAAACCTTTAGGGTTTAGGGTTGAGGGTTTGGGGTTTAGGGTTTAGGGTTTCGGGTCTAGGGTTTAGGGTTTAAGATTTGGGGTTGAGGGTTTGGGGTTTAGGGTTTCGGATTTGGGGTTTGGGGTTTGGGGTTTTATGGTTCAGGGCTCAGAGCTTAGGGCTTAGGGTTTAGGGTTTAGGGGTTAGTGCGAACCTTTACCCACTAACCTTTTATGTTACTGTTCTGAACAAAATCACAACCCCTTTCAACATCCTCAAACCCCATTGGCCCATATTTCTTTGTGAAGCAAAACTTTGACTTTAAGGAACTTTAAGGCTTTAGGGCTTACAGGGTTTAAGGTTTAGGGAACAGGGTTTATGGCGCTTATAGAGTTCATGGAGTTCATAGAGTTTATAGGGTTTAGGGTTTAGGGTTTTAGGAGCTTGTTTCTAGGGCTTTGGGGCTTTCGGGTGAAGCAGCTCAGGCGATGAGTGGCTCCACACGGGCCATGAGAGTGCCCGCTGGCAGAACGAGGCATGAGAACCCCGAAAGTTCACTAATGCGGCGTAGGTCTCATTATAGGGTTTAGGGTTTAGGGTTAGGGTTTAGGGTTTAGGGTTTAGGGTTTAGGGTTTAGGGTTTAGAGTTTAGGGTTTAGGGTTTAGGGTTAGGGTTTAGGGTTTAGGGTTTAGGGTATAGAGCCATGGGGGCTGACCATAGAACATTGCCTGAAAGAGGCAGATTCGCTGGAAAAGTTTGGGTTGGACAGGTTTGTGTTGCTGTATTTGTGCAGTTAACTGCGTACTCTGAGGGTAGTCTGATGGGCCCTTCAGAACCCTTTAAAGGGTTCTGCGCAACTACCCGAAGATGCATAGTGTGTTTTTATTAGAACTTGATTGGTGCACTCCTGATTGCGAGCACAACGTTTCTGAGTCAATATAGTGAGGGGCCTTCGCGGGTTCAAAGGCCGTACTTAATATAGGGGTTGGAAGATTTACTGATAGAACTCCCTTAGGGTCCCTTTATCAACATACTATTAAAATAAGCCCCAGCACCCTATTCTAATCCTTATGGCCCCGATACCAACCCTAAGTCCTACTCTGCCTGTGTGTAGAGGGGCAGCCCGAACCACACCCAAGGTCGAACTCGCAAGTAAGCCTCATATCCATCACCACCGAGCAACACCCCCCCCCCCCCCCCCCACCTGAGAGAAAGGGGGGGGGGGGGAGTTAGAGTGCTAAGCCCCAAACCCCTCAACCCTCAACCCCTGAACCCTAAAAGCCCAAACCCCAAAACCCCAAATCCTAAAGCCCCCGACCCAAACCCTAAATGGGGGTTGCCGAAAACAGAGGTACCCCGTTTGAGGGTCCCTTGAAGCGGATTCTATTCTATATTTGGGGTGCTATATTTGGGGTGTAAAACGGGTACCCCTATTTTGGGAACTGCCCAAATCCTAAATGTGAGTTTACGAAAATATGGGACCCCCAATATAGGCCCCCGAATAGTAGGATCCCCTTTTAAGAAGGACCCCAAGAAGGTACCCCTAAGTTGCCCTAAACCCTAGCCCTAAACCCTATAAACGCTTAACCCTTGTGAACCCCTACATTTTCTCGACCCTTCGCCCCTCACTTTGGGCGCGTTGGAGGGCCGATGGAGAAGTTGGGACCAGTGGTCCGAATGGCGCGGAGCCCGAGTTTATAGGGTTTAGGGTTTTAGGGTTTAGGGTTTCAGGGTTCAGGGTTTAGGGTTTAGGGCTTTGTAGAGTTTAGGGTTTAGGGCAGGGTTTCAAAAATAGGTTATGGAGTTGTTGGGTTTTTGTTTGTTTTCCTTTTGGTCATGGACGGCTTACCCCCCCCCCCCCCGCTATACCCCCCCCTCCCCCCCATCGAGCGGCTTGTGCTCTTAGCAAGCACTCAGCAAGCCCTCGACACTCAGCACAGCCTCAGCAGCTCTCGAGCAATCGAGCATCTGCCGAGAGCCTACCGAAAGCCTACCAAGCGCGTAGCGAGCGCTTGGCGAGTGCTTAGCGAGTGCTTAGCGAGTGCTTAGCAAGTGCTTAGCAAGAAATGCACTAGAAGTCTCCCGATTCAGGAAAGCAAGCATCCATGCTCACTAAGAGCTTTGTGGGGGGGAGGGGGGGGTATAGGAGGGGGGGGGGGGGTGGGTGTAAGCTGTCCATGATTTGGGGGGATTAGATGTTCATTTTTGGATTTCGTTATTGCGTTTGAATGTTGGGCTTTTTGTTGTTGCTCTGTTTGTGTTGGGAGTAGAGCTTTTGGGGATCTAGGGTTTACGGATAAGGGCTTTCGGGGGCTCTCATGCATGTCATGATGAGGGTTCACGAAATCTCGACCCCACTAGCCACGCTGAGTGCCAAGGTGCTAAAGGCGCTGAGGGTTCATTCAACATCCTAAGGGTCCATGTACCTATAAAACCCATGATGCGGGCATTGTGTTTGCAATTTTTTTTTTTTTTTTTTGGGGGGGGGGGGGTTGGGGGGGGGGGGGGGGTGGTGGGGGGGTGGGGGGGGGGTTGGCGGGAGGGGGGTGGGGGGGGGGTGGGTGGGGGGGGGTGGGGGGGGGGTGGGGGGGGGGGGGGTGGGGGGGGGTGGGGGGGGGGGGCTTGCGCCCCTTTGAGCCGGGCAAGCTTGCTTCAAAGCATACGAAGCCCTTCCAAGCTCCAGGGCCCAAGTAGAAACTATACATTGGGATGCTCCCCCTTCTACTAACAGTCCTGAATAGGGATTAAAATAGGGGGTACCATAATCCCTATTAAGGACTGTTAGTATAAGGGGGAGCATCCCAAACTATGTAGGTACATGTCTTGGCGCAGGGTTTTGGATCCAGGTTCGGGTGTTGTCCGCGAA